ATTCTAGAATTTTGTTTCTGCGCCGACAGATGAGGCATACAACATTTACCTTTAAAAAAAATATTTCCTTAGATCTTGAAATGATTTTTTTCCAGGGTTCCAGTTCTACAGAGAATTAGGAGCTGGTACTTAAATGAAAGCTCGGTGAAGAATGTACATGAAAAGCAGACTAAGGAAGGAGTCCCTTTGCCAAACCCAGGACACCTGTCACCTAAAATTCATGGGGCTGTTGTCAGCTAATCACCCCAGGTCCCCATTCTTTAAGCCATGCCATTCTATGGATGATTATTCTTTGGTGGCACTGGGGATCAAGTCCAGCATCTTGTGGCATGCTAGGCCATTGCTGTCACCAAGCTATATGCCCAGACCAAAAGCTTAGTTCTACACTTTTTTTTTTCCTCTCTTGAGACCTGGTCTCACATAGCCAATGCTGGCCTCAACTCCCTTATAGCTGTGGGTGACCTCCATCGATTCTCTTGCCTCCACCTCCCACTTGCTGGAATTACAGCCTTGCACCACCACAACCCGCCTCAGCTTAGCATCTTAAAGCTGTTCACTCTCTCATGGAGACAGGCAGTCTTGGGTTAAATCTCAGCACTGTCGCCGCCTGCCCGGGAGCTTGGTAGTCTCAGGCAGGCTGCTTAACTGCAGATGGAGACATCACCACCTCCTCACTCTGGAAAGCCGGGGTGCGGGTTAGAGATGCATGTGAAAGTGCTCAGCGACGCCGCCGCACACAGGAGAGTTGCGCAACCAACGCTGGCTGTTTTATCGTCACTCGCTCGCCTCCAGCTGTGTGCAGTCACGGTGGGAAAGTATGAGTAGCAGGCGCTGTGGTGCAAATGCTGAAGTTACACAACGAATTTAAGAGCAGAGAATGACAGCAAGTGCTGGGTTTTTCTGAGCGTGTGTATGGAAAGTAGCACCTCCTTGATGGAATGCACATTTTTAGAACAGAAACCTTATGCTACAATAGAAAGAACAGCAGAGAGTCAGAATTTCTACTTCTGACTCTGGCGAGGTCCTCATCTAGCCTAAGGCTTTCTGCAAGCCCCGCTGCCCACTTGGGAGCTCAGTTTTGTCAGTAATTAATCTTGAGTCATCTCTCAAGTCCCTAGCAGCAATCATTTAGCTTCCCTAACTCCCTGCCTGCCATTGTTTTTTGTTATTGGCTAAACTTTCTGTGTGGGGGCCATAAACAATTCCTGGAGAAGAGAACTAAGGGCACACTTGCAGAGTGACCCCAATCAAAGCTTTAACAAAAATAACACAACAAAATGGGGTCCCACTAAAATCTTTTTGATGGGGAAAAAACAAGCCTCAGTTTGTAGCCATACGTTTTAGTATGTACTTCCGTGGAACACATGCCTCCGTGCTACAGTTTACATTGAAAATAATAAGCTTCTTTTGGGCGGTGATAATACACACCTTTAATCCCAGCACTCGGGAGGCACAGGCAGGTGGATCTCTGAGTTCAGGGCCAGCCTGGTCTACAGAGTTGAGTTCTAGGACAGCCATAGCTACATATAGAAAGGAACCTTATCTTGAAAGACAAAATAATAATAATAATAATAATAATAATAATAATAATAATAAATATGCTCACAGTGAAATAAACTCCACGCTTTTCTCTCATCAGGTTGGTCTTTGAATGAATTTTGCCCAGGACAGAACTTTCATTCAAAGAGGAAATTAATAGAAAAGGAAAACCATGAGAAACAGATAAACAAGGCATTTGTGTCCTGAAGAAGCCATAGAAATAACCGTGGAGTGAAAGCAGGGTAGACGCCGGGGAAAAATCGGACTTAGTGTGATATTTTTGTCACAAAAGTCTTCAAGAGGAAGAAAGTACACGCTCTTCCAGAGAATGGAGGAGTGCAGCGTAAAAGCGGGGGAGACTGTGGCTTCTGAGATTCAAGTAGAAACTAAGGGTGAGAAGGGGCCGGTAGCAGTTAGTCCTCAGGAGGAGAGGCAAGAGAGAAAAACGGCTACACTCTGCTTCAAGAGAAGGAAGAAAGCAAACAAGATGAAGCCCAAGGCTGATTCCAAGACTGTTGAGGTGACAAAGAAGCGTCCCCCAGAAGCTGGGGATTCTGGTCAGTCGCAGCCAGCGGGGGCCTGGGCCTCCCTCAAACGCCTTGTGACACACAGGAAAAGGTCCGGGTCTTCAAAGAAGCTGAAGCTATCCGAGCCTGAAGAGCCTGAGGATGTGGCCCTTCCTAAGAAAAAAGCAAAATCCAGACTTAAGATTCCTTGCATAAGATTCTCAAAAGGGGCAAAGAGAAGTCGTCATTCCAAACTCACGGAAGACTCAGGCTACGTCAGAGTCCAGGGAGAGGCTGATGATTTGGAGACAAAAGCCCAGACCCAGCTGGCTGACCAGGCAATCCAGGCTAAGTCCACCCAGGAAGGTGTGTTGGCAGAAGCTGGTAAGGAGATCCGAGAATCGCATGTAAGCAACAGCGTCACGTCGGGGGAGAATGTGATTTCCGTACAACTGGAATTAGAAAATGAGTCTTCTGCTATTCAGATGGGCACCCCGGGGCTTGAAACAGAAACTAAAGTGATTAAGGAAACGCAGCATGTACAGGCGCAGCGAGCAAGTTCAGAAGCAGGCAGCCCGAGACCAGTGGCTTCTGCTGCTCCTCCCTCACCAGCAACCGCACATCGGTGCAGTGTGGGAGAGCCCAGTGAGGACACCCAAGAAAGCGCAAAAGATGAGAGAAGCAGAAAGAGTGCTGCTGAAGAAAAGAAATCAGGAGGAATTGTGCTGAGCCAGGCAGAGGAAACTGCCGTCAGCCGAGCAGAGGAAGCCACAGTTGGCCAGGCAGAGGAAGCCACAGTCGGCCAGGCAGAGGAAACTACAGTGGGCCAAATAAGGGAAGTTACAGTTGGCCAGGTGGAGAAAACTTCAGTGGGCCAAGCGATGAAAATTACAGTCAGCCAGGCAGAGGCAGCTACAGTTGGCCAGGCAGAGGCAGCCACAGTAGCACAGGCAGAAGAAGCTACAGTTGGCCAGGCAGAGGCAGCTACAGTAGCACAGGCAGAGGCAGCTACAGTAGCACAGGCAGAGGCAGCTACAGTAGCACAGGCAGAGGAAGCTACAGTTGGCCAGGCAGAGGCAGCTACAGTAGCAAAGGCAGAGGCAGCTACAGTACCACAGGCAGAGGAAGCTACAGTTGGCCAGGCAGAGGCAGCTACAGTAGCAAAGGCAGAGGCAGCTACAGTTGGCCAGGCAGAGGCAGCTACAGTAACACAGGCAGAGGAAGCTACAGTTGGCCAGGCAGAGGAAGCTACAGTAGCACAGGCAGAGGAAGCTACAGTAGCACAGGCAGAGGCAGGTACAGTTGGCCAGGCAGAGGAAGCTATAGTTAGCCAGGCAGAAGAAGAAACAGTGGCCCAGACAGAGGAAGACACAGTGCAGACAGAGGAAGCTACAGTTGGCCAGGAGGAGGAAGACATAATGGCCCAGGCAGAGGCAGCTACAGTCAGCCAGGCAGAGAAATACACAGTGCAGGCAGAGGAAGACACAGGGGCCCAAGCAGAGGAAGACACAGAGCAGACAGAGGAAGACACAGTGCAGGCAGAGGAAGCTACAGTCGGCCAGGCAGAGGAAGACACATTGCAGGCAGAGGAAGCTGCAATAAGCCGGGGACCAGATCTGAAAGAAAATGGACTTGATACAGAGAAACCCAGATCAGAAGAAAGCAAAAGAATGGAGCCAATTGCTATTATCATTACAGACACTGAAATCAGTGAATTTGATGTTAAGAAATCTAAAAATGTCCCTAAACAATTCCTAATTTCAATGGAAAGTGAGCAAGTAGGGGTTTTTGCTAATGACAGTGATTTCGAGGGGAGAACTTCAGAACAATACGAAACGCTCTTAATAGAAACAGCTTCTTCTCTCGTCAAGAACGCCATCGAGTTGTCTGTAGAGCAGCTGGTTAATGAAATGGTCTCTGAGGATGATAAGATAAATACTCTGCTACAATGACTTCATTTCCAGACCGCACGAAGAGGGGGAAAACAACCTTTAAAGACGGATTCTTTTCTACATTTGTGGCACTTCTTTCTCAGTAACAAATTAGAGGCTTACCATCTGCAGGATCTCAAGGTGCGAGTCCAGCCCAGAAGTGCCAAAGAATAAATGAAGTTTGTAAAACCCTGTCCCTGGAACACAGTTCTGGACTGGGGGCAGTCAGCATAGATCACAGGGCGCAGTGACATGCAGGGAGGAGTGGGAAAGGCTTGTGATGAGCCCAGCGCTCTGAAGAAGACTATTTCTTGAGCACTTGGTATGCTAGATGTCCCTACTGTTCCCTAATGTCACAAAGGTTGGGTTTTGTTTTTTGTTTTTGTTTTTGTTTTCCTGATGGTTCGACCCTGTGTATAGGTGAACACTGCATCCGCTTTTCTTTTCTTGTTCCTGTTGTGTCTGACGGTGAATCACGTGAGTGGGGTTCTGGTCCTGAACAAGTTCCCTACAAAAGCCATTCACAGATTCCTTCTGCCAGGCGAATAGTTACAAGTGTATAAGCGTGGAAATGGAGTGTTTTCTCTCTCCATCTTACTTCTGCCCAGCAGACCTGTCTATACCCATCTGTGGGTGGACCTGTATGCTGAGAAGTCAAAAGGGAAATAGTATTTTTTTATCCAGAAGGCAAACTTCCCAGATAGCAGAGCTATCTCCCCCTAGCAGAGTTACTTTTTTTTTTTTTTTTTTTTTTTTGAGACAGGGTTTCTCTCTGTAACCCCTGGCTGTCCTGGAACTTGCTCTACAGACCAGGCTATGTGACAGCTAATTACAAAAGATGCAGGACAGATAGATGGCCGGATGGCTGTTGAAGAGCATCCTTTTTAGGCCTGAGCACCACTGCCTCCTGAGCACTGGGGTTAAAGGCCGCTCCCCATCAAGCCCCCCTGGTTTTCATCTGCTCTGCGCTTACACTGTGTTTATGAACTGTGTACGTGTTCACTGCTTCTTCCTATATTTTCTCTCTATAAATACATACTGGGATCGAGTACAGAAGTAACTAACGAGGCTTTGGAATTTAACCAAGTGGTGGATGTTTAGCAATATTCTTGGCTGGAATGTGAAAATATTTCCTTCAGGCTTGCCTATCTTCTTCGTGTGTTTAATGGGTGGTGGGGAGCTCATTCAGTTTAGCTAGACAAAAACACGTGGTCCCCTCAATAAATTTCTTTTCCTTGTGTCCCCTTTTCACATAAAACCAAGAGTCACTGATAAATCCTCTTTAAAATCACCCTAACCCACTGTATATGGTGCTAATAGACTTGTATACATAGCTACCAGCAAATATGTTTAAAAACGAAAAGTTTTAAAAGCCTGGTTAAAGTTGGTGCACTTTGCAGTATTTTAAATAATCCTGTATCTACTTACTTATAAGGATGGCTCCAAGACAATATACTTGCATTAAAGTTTCTAACAATCTCTTATGAGTGAGTAAAATCTATAAAATACACAGCTGTTAGCACTTATTGAAGGCGTTTGGATTAGGTAGAAAGTGTGTGCTCTTGGGGGTAAGAAAGCAGCCTCAGGTTTCAGGTTTGCGGGAGGGGTGTTAGATCACCACGCCTTTGGTCAGAATGCATTCGAATTGATTGGTTTATATAAGAAAATATATTCTCCTTCATTCTTAAAATGGTTTCTCTGGCTTTTCTGAGGACTTAAATAAACAATTTCCATCTGTAAACAGAATGCAGAAATTTGTTACCGGGTTGCAACCTAATATATCTGCTCTATGGCCAAATTACAGTGAATTTTAAGGTGAGCCGAACCAGAGAGCTGGCTTGTAAGTCTGCATAAAATATTTTTTTATAGGATGTACTTCAGGCAATTTGACCTTCTATGCAGAGCATGTAGAAAGATTCTGACTCCATTTACACTCCTTTGGCCTCAAACTGACCAGATTAAAGGTATCAATTTATGGCACTCACATTAATTTTAATTGAAATCTGCCTCTAATGTACATTTATTAGCTAGAATCAACTTTCTTTTTGAACTCAGAATTTCCTAAGGCTGGGGGCGTCAATCAGATACTGGATGATCTTTCAGTATATTATCTTCACCCTCTTAAGAGCTGAGTATTATTCATTCCGCTCCTTACAACACAGGGAATATAAGCACTTGCCAAAATTGTGTGTGTGTGTGTGTGTGTGTGTGTGTGTGTGTGTGCGCGCGTGTGTGCGCGCGCGTGTGCCTGTGTGTGTGTCACTATTCACTTAACATTTTTTTTCAAAGCCCTTTTTAGGATATTAAAAATAGTACCCAGTAACATTTAAGTAAAGGTAGCAGAAAACAAAAGAACTTTCCAACAGAAATCATGTTCCCTGCCACCTCCTCCACCTCCAGGAATAATCAGCACGTGGCATATATGAAGCTCTTCAGAAAAGCTGTCTGCATAATTTTCCTCCCAGGCAATGGGCTTGACAGCGTGAAGATGGCGGTGCTCTTAACTGATCTACTATTTAGTGGCATCTTAGACAGGGCTTTACTTCTGAGAGATGATGCAGCCTCACCAATGCGAGGCTTCTTGCTAGAGGCGACTTAGTGGGCGTGGCCTGTGAGAAGGCCAAGGGGCCAGCCCTGCCCGTAGGCACCACCCAGAGTTCATTTCATTCTGCAAATGTCTGATTTCCAGCAGAATTTTCTAGGGGTTTGTGGCAGAACTTTTGAAACAATTGTTATACTTTCAAACCCTGTTGTTTGATCGCTTAGCCAGCTTGACTCAGTAAGTAGTATGCTTTCTAGTTTAATACTAAACACAGCAGGATTTGACTTTTCTGCCTGCCATTTGTGTATCTTTTAAATATCTTCATTTAAGCTGTAGAGTTCTTTAGGTTCGAATTCCTGTTTTACCGTGTAGCAAAGTTTCTTATATCGAATTGAAACTTTCAGTCCATTCTGCATTTTTATCACACCCTTTTAAAAGGAATTTTCATAATGATCCTTGATGACAAAAATTTATTAGAACGAATCTACACAAAGTATGGGCGCCCCAATTAAGTTAGAGTCATCCCTGATAACAGGACCTCCCACAGCTCATCCTGGGTAGGGTGTGTGTGTGTGTGTGTGTGTGTGTGTGTGTGTGTGTGTGTGTATGTGTGTGTGTGTGTGTTGGGGGCAAAGGAGGTGGTAACAGACGCCAGGACGGGGTAAGATAGAGCCAATGCTGAAAGATAAGTGCCAAACAGGGACATTTGGGATGGGGAAGCTGGAATCTAACTACAGGGGCGGTCTGAACATAAACAGTGAACCCATTCTGATGTGTGCCCCTGTGCAGGAAAAGGCCTGCGCGAGGCCACACGTCAGTTCTTCTCCCATAGAAATGCTGTGTGGATGAGCCACTATAAACGTAAGAGCACCGTTTTGTATTCTCACTAAAATTAGTATTACTGTGAATCAAAGGCTAATACTAAAGAAATAATACTCTGTAGAGAAAAGGTTTTCAAGCTAAATTAATTCATGTACCGACGAATACAGAATAAATGTTATATTAACTCATTTACTTATCTGTGTCTTTGAAAAGGAAAGTGGCTAATTATGTGTATTTCCTAAAACTGTAAAGATCGCACTGACGAAAACATTCAGTTCTATAAAAAGTTCCACTCCGTTGGGGGTTGGACAGACTTTACAACACCGATGTAACAGAGTCCAACTCCAGCAGAGAAATGCGAACAGTCGGACTCTGAACCGATGGAACTGCGAGAACAGGCAGTTCTGAAATTGATGCCATTCAAATCGAGTGGCCCAGCACTGTTCCATGCGTAATGGGGCATGCCATATGCCCAGTTCCCAGTTCCTCAAAACCAAATGAAATCCAACCAAGGAAGGTTTTGCTGTGTCTCACCAGTCACATGGGTTGCTTTTCTGTATTGTTATTTATTATTATTGTCTTTGTTTTTGTTTTTTCGAGACGATTTCTCTGTGTAGCCCTGGCTATCCTGAAACCAGCTTTGGAGACCAGGCTGGCCTCGAACTCAACAGAGCTCCATCCACCTCTGCCCACTCACTGCCCAGGTTGTCTTTTCTTTATTATGTTAGTCTATGGATTGCTAATAATCTCTATGGTTTCCTAGATGAGCCCCGGTGCAGAAGGACTTACATTATTCACACAATAGCAACTTTAGTTTGTTTCTGAAGTTTGATTTCCTAAAGGCCTAATTTCATTCTGCTACCACTACTACCTGGGATGTACTGTGATACGGGCGACCTTAAACATCCGTCTAATCTTCCTGCCTCCGCCTCCTAAGTGCTGGAATTACAGGCATGCATCGTGAGTTGTTTTGTTTTGTTTTGTTTTTTTTCTAACTACAACCTAATTATCATAATTGGTTCCAATGAGACTGTATTTCCCAAGTCTTGGAACCCATTGAAAAGCTGATCTCACCTTCCAAGGTCCAGAAACTACATCCGGCTGCAGACTCGCTTACTGCCTAATGTACAAGCCCAGCACATTAAGAATTCCACGTTCTTCAGAATTTTTATTATCGTTACTATGTTTTAGTTTCTTTGAGGCAAGAGTCTTTCCATGTAGTCCTGCTGTCCTGGAGCTCACCACATAGACCAGGCTGGCCTTGAAATCACAGAGATTCCCCTGCCTCTGCTTCCTGAATGATGGAATTAGAGCTGTTTGCAACCACACCTGGCTCTTTAGAATTTCTGGAAAGTTATTTTAGTTATTTAAGACACAGGTCTGTGTAGCTCAGGCTGTCCCCAAACTCAAGATCCTCCTGCCTCTGCCTGCACCTGATGAGTGCTGGGATTACAAGTGTGTCACTACACTAGGCATAAAGCCTTGTGAAATCAAATTTCCTAACAGAAGGGGCATGCTCCCACCTACAGACCATGTACTCATCACCAAGAGTTCTTTACAGACTCACCTTCAAACCTGAAGTCTAGAGTCCTCTTGCCCCTGTCTCACTTTGGTTTCCTGGTTAGATTTAAGTTACCGTGTTGGGACTGGAACCCAGAGCTTTGGTTCGCTAGACAAGTGCTCTACCACTGAGCCACATTCCCAGCAGCCGTGCCCTTCATGACCTTAGTGGGTCAGGATTCAGCTTCTCGTGTAGCTTTCACACACACCTGAGCATTCCACTTCTGCAATCCTGTGCCACAGAGCACAGGAGGGTGCTGGAGGAGATGAAGTCAGGTGCAAGAGCACAAATCTCTATTTGAGGCAAGGAGCTACTGACGATTGAATCACGAATTTGCACGTGTTCACCATGGACTCCACCCCTGGAAACCTGCACTCGAATCTATTCACTACCGAATTCCTGCACCGACATCTCTAGGTTCGTGTGACAGGAAGGTCTGGTCAGTACGGTCGGCAGCGGGTCTCTGGGCCACAGTGTGCAGAATCGTTCTGATGACTAATGCCACCTGGCAACAGGCAAGATCCTAGGACGGGCTTTCTGTGGAATTGTGTGCAGAACGAGGGCTTTAATCAACAAGAATGTCACACCTCTAAAAGAGGTCATCCCGAGCTGGGGCATCTCTAGCCTGTCAGAATCGCCCTCGGTCTGCACAGGGAGGATGCTGGAACAAATGGCCACTGCTTGGTTCAGGGGAAGCAGCCAACTTGGCATGAGCGCTCCACCAAATACAACACAGAGCCAGCAGTGAGCCCTGATTCCACAGGAATCTTACTTAGAACTCTCTTTAATTTTCTGGACTCTCCCTGATCCCTTAATCTTTTGGTTATAATTTTTCCTAAAGGAGTACATGTTTGGATTCAACTTAAATTTTTTTTCCTATGTCTATCTGTTCACAAATACTAAAATCTACCATGTTTATTTAACTGATGTCATGTGTGAGGGTTCTGCTCGTATGTGTATGCACCAGTTGCATGCCTGGTGCTCCTGGAGGCCAGATCCCCTGGAGCTGGAGTTAAGGGTGGCTGTGAGCTTCCATGAGTGCTGAGGATCGAACCACGGTGCCCTGCGCGAGCAGCAAGCACTCCTGACAGCGCAGCCACCTCTCCAGCCTGAACTTCTGGTGCTCTTGCTTTCACATCACAAATGCTGGTACTCTAGGTGTGTGCCTCCACACCATTTATGGGGTGCCGGGCATCCAACCGGGCCTTTAGGCATACTAAGCAAGCACTCTAGAAACTGAGCTACAACCCTACAACCCAGCCCTTCATTTGAAGTCTTAGATCTATAGACTGCTTAATTTCTTGTTGTTGTGACAAAAAAGTGGCAAAAACTTGAGGGAGGGTTTCTTGTCACTCACGGTTTGAAGGTCCTGTCCATCACTGTGGGAGAGTCAGTCCTGGGCTTCCTCAGGCTTCTGGTCACACTGGCTCCACAGTCAGGGAACAGAGTGAACGCTGGTGCTCAGCCTCTGTTCGGTATGGGACTCCAGGTCATGGACCAGGGCCGCCCAGGGTAAAATTGGGTCTTTCCACCCGAGGAATCTGAGACAGATAATCTCTCACAGACGTGCCTAGAGTGTCCTGGGTAGTTCTAGATCCTGCTGACAATCACAATTAGCCAGCCGGATGTGACTGCATGTCTTTAATCCTAGGCAGAGGCAGGAGAATCTCGAGTTTGAGGCCAATGTTCCAGGACAACCAGGGTTACTTAGAGAGACCCTCTAAAACAAACAAACAAACAAACAAAATAAACAAAAAAGTAACCTTGAAGATACCACCTGAGTATTTTTAGTTTAATATAATTTCCTATGTTAGTAAAACTTGGCTTTTTGTGAAAATCCAAAATAACTTCCCCACCTCCCTGTCCCCTACCCCACTGGGTTTCTCTGTAAAATGGCCTTGGTTGTCCTGAAATTTTCTTTGTAGACAGGCTGGCTTCAAAACTGTCAGAGATCTACCAGCCTCTGCCTCCCAAGTGCTGGGAATAAAGGCATGGGCCAACACACCTGGCTAAATTAAGTTTTTTAATCTCAGTGTCTAAATTTAGGAGAATCAAGGCATACGACACAGCCTGCACCCATTAACCCACTAATAAACAACAGCAAAATACCAGGAGAAGCAAGGCTGGCAAGCCCCATTGTCCAGCTGCACAGCTAAGCATTCAGTGATGAGCTTTGTTTCCCAAGTGGAATTGACTATCATCTCCAGCCATTGTGGCTCTGGGTGCAGCCATCAGAGAATGATCCGTTCCCACAGGTGCTGAACATTGGGTTTCCCTGATTACGCTTCTCATCCCAGTTTAAAACACCATTTCAAAGAGGGAACAGGAAGGACTGTGTGTCAGTGTCAGAGTGCTTGCCTGGACTGTGCAAAACCCTGGGTTTAATGTCCAGCGCTGTGTGTGTGTGTGTGTGTGTGTGTGTGTGTGTGTGTGTGTGTGTGT